TTTTCCTTCTCCTAGATGGGCTGCCTTCCAGGCTTTGGACCCAATAGTCCAAAGAATTTTAAAAACGATGGTTCCAAAGGAAAGACAAGTGCTTTCTGTATACTTGTTTCCAATTTGCTACCAGTAAGGAAAACAAGGCAGGCCTCCCATGTTTGGCCTGCTGGGTAACAATACCTTGACCAAACTTTGTCATCCCACTTTGTGATGCAGTTCATCACCTTTATAAATATCTGGTCCAGCAGAGACTTTTTGCCCCTCTCTGAGGTAGAGCCATGTTGTCCTCAAGAGACAAGAATCTGGAAAGCAGCAGAGGCTAGCTGTCAGCATAAACAAAAAAGAGAGAGGAAAAGACCCCAGAAGACGTTTCCTCAAGCAAGAGATCCAGGGCGGGGAAGTTCATTCTAACTTGCTGCTTATGTTGCATTTGTGTCTCTCCACTGAAAACACCAGCAGGGTTGGCAATTGATGACAACTCCAAAGAGGGAAAAGAGTCAGAGGCATAACACCATTACCAGGTAAAGTATTCTAACAGTTTGGGAACTGAAATGGGTGGCAGGGAAGGCCAAGGAGTGTTCCGGAGGCCAGAACCTAGCTTCTATAAATACACAATTTACATTTGCATAAGGAAAATCATGTAAGTTTCAGCAGGAAATTAATTATCCTCATTAATGATGTGCTGCTTGCATTCCTGGGCACGCAGCTGTGTGGGCAATTTGGAGCACAGTCAGGAAGGCAACCATCACTTTCTCAGTGAGTGGTAATTTGCTGCCATGACTTACACAATTCCACTTATGCATGCTTAAATAAGTAATAAAATTATGGCATCGCTCAGTGGCAAAATACATGTTTGACATAAATTAAGACTTTAGATTCAATTCTGGCATCTTTAGCTGAAAGTGTCAGGTGGCAGACAAGCGAAATAATTTCTGCCTGAAATTTTGGAGAGAACTAAACAGACCAGTAATTTGAAACTGATAATACAGCTCTGTAAGCCCATTAAGAATCAAACTAGATATTGGCCAAAATCCTGTTCAGGGCAGCGTAAGGTAAGTTTAAAAAAAAGTAAAGGCTCCCCTTGACATTTTAGTCCAGACTCTTCAATATTTTTATTAATGGCTTGGATGAGGGAGTGCAGGGAATGCTTGTCAAATTTGCAGATTATGCCAAATTAGGCAGAATAACTAATACCCTAGAACAGTGGTTCCCAATCTTGGGCCTCCAAATGTTCTTGGACTACAACTCCCAGAAGCCTTCACCACCACCTCTGCTGGCCAGGATTTCTGGGAGTTGAAGTCCAAGAGCATCTGGAGGCCCAAGGTTGGGGACCACTGCCCTAGAAGACAGAAACAAAATTCAAAATGACCTTGATAGGATGGAGCCAAAAAC